AAGAAGACGACTCGATCGCTGGGACAATACTCTTATTCGCCTGACGTTTCGATATCCGTCGCGGATTCTTCATCAGAGACATTGTCGGAGAGCAGTAGCTAACTGCTATCGAAACGTCAGGCGAATAAAAGTATTGTCCCATCGATCGAGTAGTCTTCTTCTCGGAAACGATTCGGTCTGCGAATACGGCAGTTGCAGAAGCGCAGGTCAGCAATCGAGAGAGAGAGAGAGCAAGAGGTACAGGCATCTTCTCCGGCACTCGATCACGCCGAACCCACTTAAACAACCTGCCGAGTCTCGCGAGGCGCGCTACCAGTAGGTTATTTTAAACAGATGGCTAATCGATCGCACTGCCCTGTGGGCTGGACTGAAGTATCCGCGGTGAGCTATAGACCGCCGCATCGCACTGCTCACCGTTAGTTGCGGCTAACAGTCATCTGCGGTGGGGGAAGAAAGAGACAGAGAGTAAACAGTTACGCCATATGGCGGACTTCAAGCGCCTCGTCACCCACATCCATCGGTGTTTCTACAACGGAGACCTAACAGCCCACGATCACGCACGTGCCAACGAGATACGTCCAGTTGACTACTCCCTACTGGGCGGTGTTAGTCACACAAGTATCGTTCCAGCCTACAGTCAGGAGTACTTTGACATCGAGGCCAGGTGGGCAGATCGCCACTATCGACACCAATTGCTGCCTCAATACTCGACACGTAAGGACGCACCAGGCCGTTCGGATAAGCCGTTTGAGGATCGTTCCACGGAACTGTATGTCCGTCAGAGAGAACACGCAGCCATGCTGGGTCGTCTGATGGCGGAGCGTGCCCGCGGCGGAACCAGCAAGGAGCAGGACGCCAGACCGAAGTTCCAGCCTGACGAAGAGTTAATTTGCAAGGCAGTAAAAGACGATGCAGCGACACCACCCCAACCTCCGCCATCGGGCTACGCCAGAGCCATAAAGCTGGCTTCCGATGGCTGCAATGACGTTTGTCGCCTACAGCGACATCAAAAA